CCCAGATTTGCTGATATATGGAACAAATGTCCATACTACAAAATCAGTAAAATACTTAGGAGTTACGTTTGACAAATTCCTCCAGTTTAAGGAGCATATAGCTGAAAAATATAAGATAAGATGAGATAAGATAAGATAAGATAAGATAAGATAGTACTTTATTTTCCCAGAGGAAAATTTTCCTTGGCTGTACAAGACCATAAAAACACATGCAGGTATACATAAAAAATGTTAATCATATATATTACACTCATTAAAATTCAATATGAAAGGAGAAGTAAAGCTGACAAAATGTACATTGACATCAAATGCATCATTCAACCACATGCAGGAATTTAAATACTAGACATTTGGAGTTATATACAGATACATACTCAAAGAGCAACACACATAGATTATGCTCATTCTGACAAAAGCCTTATGCTAGATCGTAAAAAACTTCTTTTATATATTTCTTTCTTTGTTTTTGGAGGTACATATCTGCCGCTGCGTGATCTTACAATTTTTGTGGAAAAGGGGTGTGATGGGTCGTTTATAATGCTTTTTATCTTTTTTATACGAGTGGCGTTATACATTTCATCCATTCTTATAAAACCATATCCAGAGATCTTGCTGGCTTTCTTAATGGTTCTGTCAAATTTTTCTTTATCTTTCACCTTACAATTCCCACCCCAGAAGCAAATACAAAATAATAGCACACTTTCAATCATAGAATGGTAAAAAAGGGACATAATCTTATTGTCAACACGGATCTTCTTCTTAATTTCCTTAAGAGGGGGGGGGGGGGCTACACCTGGAGGCTATCTCGCTTATTACTGGACCGAATATTACCAAATTTCACACATATAACAAGCATAGTAAGGAGTCTTAAAATCCGCAATCAAATTTGAGAAAAAAGTTTCGTTTCCATGGATACGCCGCCATATTAGATTTTATTTACATGTATTGCGTAATGAATACCGCACTCATTGCTCGTGGTTTTTTTATTGAATTTTTGCATGCGTGTTCACAAACATTACATCTAAAAATTTGTCTGTTGTTTTTTTCCTAAACAAATTAGAAAATTTTTAATGAATTTTTTCCTGAGGTAGCATTCAAGTTTGCGAAAAATCCGTGAAAATCCACACTCCAGACACCACCAACAAAATCTATTCCATATATCAAAAATTTAACAAAGAAATTTTTAGTATTACCTCTTTTCTTTGTTCTGTGAAAATTTCATGAAGATTGGATGAAAAATGGTGGAGTTATTCAAAACAGTATAGAGAGAAGTCGCATTTTGAGAAAACGGCCGATAAAGAAAAATAAAATACTGACTTTATGAGGAAATGGCGGTTACAAACATGCCTGGTTGGGAAAAAATACGGTTTTTGGGGGTTCTTATGCCATGAAATAGTTGTAAGAAAGGCTGAGGAAGCTAAAAATGCCTAGAACTCAAATTCCATGATTTTGAGCCGAATTTTGATTTTGGGGGTGTAGCCCCCCCCCCCCCCCCCCCCCCCCCTTAAAAGAACATTCTTTGATTTACTTTTTTATGCACAAGAGCAGCGTGGGGGGGGGGGGGGACGCCAGTCAAGTTTGTGGTCGATTGTTACACCAAGATACTTGTAAGAGCTTACCACCTCCACCTCTTCATCTTTAATAAATAGTGGTTGCAATTGGTCTTTTTTTACTCTAAAGTTTATTATTAATTCCTTTGTCTTTTTTACGTTTAGTATAAGGAAGTGGTTGTAACACCAATTTGTAAATAGATTCACAGCGTCCCTGTAGTCATTCAAATTTGTTGTTATAAGGCCTTGTAAAGTGGAATCATCCGCAAATTTTATTAGTTTGATGATTTTGTTATCAAAATACAGTCGTTGGTGTAGAGCGTAAACAAGACAGGGGAGATTGCACAGCCTTGAGGCGCACCGGTGTTCGTGAATTTACACCATTTAATTTTACATATTCAGGTCGATTGGTTGAGCTATAATGTTCTTGTTTATGTTCATGTTAATTTATTTTGAAACCATTACGCGCGGTTGGATTGTGTTGAATGCGGATGAAAAATCAGCAAAAAGTGTCCTGCAGTAATTTCTTGGTGTGTCTATGTGTTTGTAGATGTTTTCTAAGAACACGAGAATGACATCCTCCACGCCCCTCTTGGCACGATAGGCAAATTGCATGTTATCCTGTATGTCTTCTGTTGATTTTCTCAGTTCTTTCAAAACCAATTTTTTTAAACATGAGGACTGATGTTAAAGCGACAGGTCTTAGGTCGTTCAAATTTTGTATTGATTGTTTCTCTGGGATAGGAATTATTTCAGAGCATTTCCATGAGAGTGGTATTATTCGTTCTTTCAAAGACATATATTGAAAATATCAGTATAAATGGGAGATAACTGAGTAGAACACATTTTAATAATTTTACTTTTTACTCCATCGGGTCCACTCGCTTTGTGAGCTTTCAGACGATTAAGCATGATCTAGACCTCATTAACATTAACCACAAAAGTTTCCT